GATAGATAGATAGATAGATAGATAGATAGATAGATAGATAGATAGATAGATAGATAGATAGATAGATAGATAGATAGATAGATAGACATTTATTGCCATATGCGCAGCATGAAAAACAACAGTTTAACACTGAAATTGTCTCGTTTGCATACTCCCATAACAACAACAACAACAGCAACAACAACAATAATAATAATAATAATGAATATATGTATAAAAACAGACAAACAAATAAAACAATAATTTAAACAGATACAAGGGAATAAAAAAGAGACAGAAACTAAGGTGCATATGGACTATTTACAAGTAGCAGCATCAATGAGGTGATGTAGCAGCAGATAAACATTTTTTTTAAAAGATTTATTTTTGGCCTTTTCCACCTTTATTGATAGTGACAGTGAGAGAGTGACAGAGAAACGTGGGGAGGAGAGTGGGGGAATGACATGCAGCAAATGAGCCGCTGGGTGGAATCGAACCCGGGCCGCTGCCCCTGCACATGGGTCGCCTGCCCTACCCGCTGAGCTATCCAGGCGCCCAGCAGATAAACATTTAAAGTGCACAGTGCCTGGTGACACATGTTAACTGGATTGTACATTGAACACCAGTGATCAGCCAGCAAACTTAATAATGCTGGTGTTGTTCTAAGTGACCACACAGTCATAGGTGAAGAGGGAGTAGAGCATTGGACTCAGCACACAGCCTTGGGGGCAGCCTGTGCTTAACTTTCTGATGCCAGATGACTGGCCCCCAACTCTGACCGACTGAGGTCTGTCAGAGAGGAAGTCCAGCACCCAGAGGGATGGTGCCAGACCGAGTAGGAGGAGCATCTCACACAACCTCAGAGGGACGACAGTATTAAATGCTGAGCTGTAATCAACAAACGGCATCCTCACATACGTGTCCTTTCCATCAAGGTGCATGAGAACAGTGTGAAGTGCAGCAGTCACAGCATCGTCAGTAGAGTGATTCTGACGATGCGCATACTGAGATGGATCAAGTGTGGGGGGGACCATGATCTTAATGTGTGCCATGACTATCCTCTCAAAGCACTACATCACAATAGGGGTGAGTGCAATGGGAAGATAGTCATTGAGACACTGAACAGGGGATTTCTTTGGGAGGGGCACAATGGTGGTTGATTTAAAACAGGAGGGAACACGCGCTCTGACCAGGGAGAGGTTGAAAATGTTTGTGAAGACATCAACCAGCTCCGACGAACAGGCTCTGAGCGCGCGGCCCGGGATGGTGTCTGGGCCAGCTGCTTTCCGGGAGTAGAACTCATTGAGCTAGTCTTCTTGTCCCTCCTGGCTGGATGCTGACCACAAGCTCCTCTGCCTGTAGCCAGTGATGTGCTGAAGTCCTTGCCACATGCTCCTTGAGTCTGAGATGGTGTAGCAGTTCTCAAGTTTCAGCCTGTAATGCTTCTTGGCTTGCCTGATGGATCTCTGCAGGTCATATCTGGCCTTGTCCTGTGTATATATATATATATACACACACACATATATATATATATATATATATATGTGTGTGTGTGTGTGTGTGTGTGTGTAGCAGCTAATTTGATCACAATTGAAGAAAAAAAGTTCAAAAGTGATAAATAATAAAATAGCATATATGTATGTGTATATATATATATATATATATCTTGGAGTTCAACTGGACAGCAGACTAGACTAGAAATGCAACACTGACTATATCTACAAGAAAGGTCAGAGCAGACTCTACTTCTTAAGGAAGCTGAGATCATTCAGTGTCTGCACCAAGATGTTGCAGATCTTCTATAAGTCTGTTGTGGAAAGTGCAATCAGCTTTGCAGCCATCTGCTGGGGCAGTAGCATCAGAACCAGAGACTTAAAGAAACTAAACAAGCTGATCAAGAAAGCTGGTTCTGTGCCGGGGATAACTCTGGAACCACTGGAGCTGATTGTTCAAAAAAGAATGCTGCACAAGAAGATGAAGATGATGGAGGATTCTTCCCACCCTCTCCACAACACAGTGAAGAATCAACAGAGTGTGTTCAGTGGGAGGCTGCGTCAGTTTCGCTGTAGAACGGAGAGATACGGAAATTTATTCCTGCCAACAGCCATCACCTTGAAGAACAAGTCTGACTGACTGACTGACTGACTGACTGATTATTATTGTTGTATATATATGTTATATTGATTTTTTTTAAAAAAATTTTAAGTGAGCTTTTTACAATATTGAATTTCCCTTCTAGGATAAATAAAGTGTTTTTTATTTCATTTCATTTTTCATTTCATTTCATTTTTCATTTCATTTCATATATATTATTTATTGTCAAACAACTGTGTGTGTATATGTGTGTGTGTGTGTGTGTGTGTGTGTGTAGCAGCTAATTTGGTCACAGTCGAAGAAAAAAGTGCAAAAATGATATAAATAATAATAAAATAGCAAATAGCAATAAAATAAATACTCTATCAAAATGATGTTGCACTGCATATTCAGCTCCCCCTCCACATAATGCACACTTGTCTTGTGACTGGTAAGTTGTCACACTTCACTCTAAGCTGTGCAACACATTATTTAATTCAACCATTTATGACATTCTTTTACACATCTGTCTAGGTGTCTGTTAAATTTTGTACTTTGTAATGTGCAATAAAGGTATTAATGAAGCTTTGCCCTAAATGTATTGATGTTTTTATGCTGCATATCTACTTCAAATTTCAACAATAGCAACATGTACCATTTTGTGATTATACAACAACAGCAGAGATGAAGTCAAAGGCAAGAAATGGAACCTCTAAATACTAAGAACAGAGAATAATAAACTGCTGAAAAAGTTGGTCTGTTCTTCCATCAGAGAAAGTTGAAGTGGAAGTGGTTAACTGAGGATGTTGTCCATGCAGTCTCCTTCTTCACAAACTTATTATCATTTTTAGTGTGGAGACATTTTGATTTACAGTAAAAGACAAATACTTGAGTTAAGATGTGGTGATAGCAGTGAATTATATACAACAATTAGACAAAATTATTGGTACCTCTCGGTTAATGAAAGAAAAACCAACAATGGTCACATAAATAACTTGAATCTGAAAAAAAAGTAATAATAAATAAAAATTCTATGAAAATTAACCAATGAAAATCTGATATTGTGGTGTAACAGAATTATTTAAAAAAATAAACTCATGAAACAGGCCTGGACAAAAATGATGGTACCCTTAACTTAATATTTTGTTGCACAACCTTTTGAGGCAATCACTGCAATCAAACGATTTCTGTAACTGTCAGTGAGACTTCTGCACCTCTCAGCAGGTATTTTGGCCCACTCATCATAAGCAGACTGCTCCAGTTGTCTCAGGTTTGAAGGGTGCCTTCTCCAGACGGCATGTTTCAGCTCCTTCCACAGATGTTCAATAGGATTTACATCAGGGCTCATAGAAGGCCACTTCAGAACAGTACAATGTTTCCTCTGAGCCATTCTTGGGTGTTTTTAGCTGTGTTTTGGGTCATTATCCTGTTGCAAGACCCACGACCTGCGACTGAGACCAAGCTCTCTGACACTGCGCAGCACATTTCTCTCTAGAATACCTTGATAGTCTTGAGATTGCATTGTACCCTGCACAGATTCAAGACACCCTGTGTCAGATGCAGCAAAGCAGCCCCAGAACATAACAGAGCCTCCTCTATGTTTCACAGCAGGGACAGTGTTCTTTTCTTGATATGCTTCATTTTTGCGTCTGTGAACACAGAGCT